CCCCCCCCCCCCCCCCCCCCCCCCCCCCCCCCCCCCCCCCCCCCCCCCCCCCCCCCCCCCCCCCCCCCCCCCCCCCCCCCCCCCCCCCCCCCCCCCCCCCCCCCCCCCCCCCCCCCCCCCCCCCCCCCCCCCCCACCCTCCCCCCCCCCCCCCCCCCCCCCCCCCCCCCCCCCCCCCCCCCCCCCCCCCCCCCCCCCCCCCCCCCCCCCCCCCCCCCCCCCCCCCCCCCCCCCCCCCCCCCCACCCCCCCCCCCCCCCCCCCCCCCCCCCCCCCCCCCCCCCCCCCCCCCCCCCCCCCCCTCCTCCCCCCCCCCCCCCCCCCCCCCCCCCCCCCCCCCCCCCCCCCCCCCCCCCCCCCCACCCCCCCCCCCCCCCCCCCCCCCCCCCCCCCCCCCCCCCCCCCCCCCCCCCCCCCCCCCCCCCCCCCCCCCCCCCCCCCCCCATCCCCCCCCCCCCCCCCCCCCCCCCCCCCCCCCCCCCCCCCCCCCCCCCCCCCCCCCCCCCCCCCCCCCCCCCCCCCCCCCCCCCCCCCCCCCCCCCCCCCCCCCACCCCACCCCCCACCCCCCCCCCCCCCCCCCTGCTGAGGTTTCTTCGCGCAGAAGCTGGATACAGCCCACTGGCGCAATGCAGCTTTCGCAAGACAGCGTCGACTGCTCCGCACAGGAATTAATCACGAGTCCATGGCAAATGACCCCACTTGTGGAGCACGCGCTTGGCGCGTTGCCGTGCAAGATCTTCCACCTCATCCAATTCCAGCCTTTCGCGTTCGCTTGGATTCTGGACATAAAGAAAGCCTCTGCTCACGAGTCGTCGTACAGTTCCGTTCGAGAGAAGGTTGGCAAGGACCATCTCGTCCTCCGGCGTGTGTGTAGCCTTCCAAGAACAGCAGTACCAATGATCCGCGGAGTCCTTGCTCAAACCCAGGGTTCTCTGAACGCGAACAGCATCGTTGAAAGCTTCCCACTCCACGGCATCCAAGTTTAGCCGTCGCCGAAGCTCTGGATTATTCACGTGCTGAAGACCTGTTCGCACCCGAAAGATAATCTCCGAGTCCGAGGCAGGCCGAAGCATTTCATTTATTTCCCAGTCCGTCCAGCAGCTGTCTTCCCGGTAGCTCTTAAGAATGCTTGGATGCAGTTTATCAACTCTCGGATATTGAGGTCTGCGAGAGCGCATCATTCGAAGAGTCCGACGTCTTCGATGCGGAGGACAGCATGCAGGCACGAGCATGGCAACGCCTGCACCCCTCCAGAGTCCAGGACACTCCTCGAGCCCCACACAACAGCCGGTCAAATGCCATGCATATCCTGCACCTGGAGCTGCAAAGCACGGCTTCATCACGACGGCCTGCAGCTACGTCGAACACGACTGTGATCCGATCGATCGTCGAACGTGAAACAGAACTCCACTGGCGGACTGCAGCTTTCGCAAGACAGCGTCGACCACTCCCGCCGTGCCTGGATGTCCGGTTTTATCGCATGCCACATGTCTCGACCTTCTACACGACTGTGATGCGATCGATCGTCGAACGTGAAACAGAACTCCACTGGCGGAATGCAGCTTTCGCAAGACAGCGTCGACCGCTCCCGCCGTGCCTGGATGTCCGGGTTTATCGCATGCCACATGTCTCGACCTTCTACACGACTGTGATGCGATCGATCGTCGAACGTGAAACAGAACTCCACTGGCGGAATGCGGCTTTCGCAAGACAGCGTCGACCGCTCCCGCCGTGCCTGGATGTCCGGCAACCGCCGAATTAAGCGTAGTCCTGGACAAGTGAAAGGATCAGCTCGCGGACTGTTGTTCCTCATCTGATGGGTCACGCAATTCGATAATCTCGCGCTGCGGCACCGTGACATCGAGGGCCTCCAAGAGCCGTGTCACAGCTGCAAACGCCTCCAGCAGAAGCCCTTGATGGCCCTTCAATGCTGCAGGCGGTGCAGGATCAGCATCATTAGGACGAAAGGACATGCGCAAGAGGTTCAATTGCGTGAAGACCCAACCTCGATCGGCAGGTGTGCTCTCCACCACTCTCCGCAATTCTTCTGGGTCTGTCACGCGCTTCAGCAGAAGATCTCCTGCTTCAGGTGCGACCGCAGCAATGGCGAGATTACATATTTGCAATGCCGGGAGATCCGGCAGGTCGCGAAGCGCCAGAGACAAAGCGTCGCAGAGAGTGCCCACATCCGGATTGCGCGGCCACGGCAGCGGCACCGTGACTTCCAGGGCCTCCAAGAGTCGTGTCACGGCTGCAAACGCCTCCAGCAGAAGCCCTTGATGTCCCTTCAATGCTGCAGGCGGGGCAGGATCAGCATCATTAGGACGAAAGGACATGCGCAAGAGGGCCAATTGCGTGAAGACCCAACCTCGCTCGGCAGGTGTGCTCTGCGCCACTCTCTGCAATTCTTCCCGGTCTGTCACGCGCTTCAGCAAAAGATCGCCTGCTTCAGGTGCGACCGCAGCAATGGCGAGATAACATATTTGCAATGCCGGGAGATCCGGCAGGTCGCGAAGCGCCGCAGACAAAGCATTGTAGCGAGTGCGCACATCGGGATTGCACGTCCGCCGCAACGTTGCCATGGCCAGGAGGACTGAAAGTCAACTCGAGAGATGGCGCTGCGGAATGTTGACACCTGGAGCTGCAAAGCACGGCTTCATCACGACGGCCTGCAGCTACGTCGATTAGATTTTGTCGCATGCCACATGTCTCGACCTGCCACACGACTGTGATCCGATCGATCGTCGGACGTGAAACAGAACTCCACTGGCGGAATGCAGCTTTCGCAAGACAGCGTCGACCGCTCCCGCCGTGCCTGGATGTCCGGCAACCGCCGAATTAAGCAAAGTACAAGTTCCGCAAGGACACAGAATCCGGCAGGTCTCTTCTCGACCCACCACACTACTGTGATCCTATCAATCGTCAGACACGTGAAGCAGAACGGCGCATTGCAACCGCACTGGCTCCGAATTACGAATTCCTCTCACAACACCGTGCCTAACGCACAACGTTTAGTCTAAGTCTTGAACCAAACGAAGGTGGTTTCCCGGAATCCTTCGCAGATACCGCACTGGTTTGGGACTGCCGTGGTCATCAGATTTGGTGCCAAGACCATGCCACCGAAGACTCATGTAATCTTCTAGGTGCAGGAAAGCAAAGGATCGAGCACGGCTCGCATCGTGCAGCCAGCCACAAGCATCACGTCCGATGCATTTCAGCCGCGGAAATACGATCTCCTGGGCATCACGACAAAAGCTTCGAAGTTCCAAAAATAACTTCGTGTTCGCGAAGAGCAAGCTGCGCGTGAGACGAGGACACCATTTCCGGCCTCGAAGCTCCAGGCATGATGTCGCCACGCAATCATTTCGCCATGCTTGCCACGGAGCGTTCAGCAAGCTGATCAAAGTTTGCCCCAGAAAGCATTCTCTATGATTCAGTTCCAAGCAAGACCTTTCCTCTATATATTCTCGCCACGGCACAACAGTCAGACTGCTCATAATCCGCCTTCGAAGAAGTTCCTCACAGGAAGCTTTGCAGCGCCTGATCAATTCGAAGTGTTCGTTCAGGTTCCGGACATCCTGAAAGTCCCACTGCACCTCCAGAATGAAATCCACCCCCGCGAAATCCAACACGAGCGACCAGGGCACCCCAGACGACATGACGATCGAACAAGCGATAGCAGATCACTGCAGCTTCTGGAGCCGTCACAAGGACACGAGCATGATCGACAGCACAGCTCAGAATCCGGCATCGACGGAACTAAAGGAAGGGCAACTGTTTAGAACTTCGCCTCACACCCACTCAGCAGCTTTTTGCACAAAGGGTCGGTGTGCTGGCCAGCAATCACTGCTGCGTGCAGAGGCTAGGCGCAATGCGGCTTTCGCAAGACAGCGTCGACCGCGTCAATGGGTCCAAACCTTCTTTCACAGCACAGACGGGCAGCTCTTCCACACGTCTCATCTCGCCCGACCTTGCAAGCCACGTCATTCGATCGCTTGCAATCCGGCAGTCACCGAATTAGGCGAATTACAAATTCAGAAGCCAGCAGGTCTTTGACGCTGCTCCAATGACCTCTTGCGGCGACTGCCGCTTCGAATTATGCGAGAGCGCAGCTATTGTCCGGCTCAGTACAAGTTGCCCAGGTCAATGTCAAAGAGCGATTCCTCGTCGGATTCCTCTACATGAAGAGGAGCAAGTCCAGAGCACCTCTCGAATCGGCGTTTTCGTTCCTTTTTGCCAACGACGGGCGGTGCACCGAGACCGTGCCAACACACATCCATGTAATCTGCGATGTGCACCATAGCAAAACATTTGCCTTCGTAGTGGACCCACCAAGCGGCCTCACGTCCTAGCGGCACCAAGAACGGGAACACGATCTTCTGGCCGGACATCGCCGTCAGGTCGAGAGAAAGCTTTCTATTCAAGAAGAGGAGCGATCGCGTCAGCCGAGGGCACCATTTACGAGCTGTCAGTTGGAAGCCGGCTCTTGCACAGGGATGTTCTCTGAGAGGCATGATTTCGAAACTGGACATCGTGCCAGCGCAAACAAGTCGATGGCAGGAAGCCTCGCAACGCTGCACCAGCTGCATGTGTGCATCCAGGTCCTCCACCTCGGACCAGTCCCATATCAAGTAAAGAAAAAAAATCACGCCTGCGAAATCCAGCACCAACGACCATGGCACTCCGGAAGGCATGGCGCCCTAAACCCGGTCGGGCTTCCTCATGCTTGCAGCAACAAATAATTCGGCGCAACCATGGAAAGAATAACCGATGAAGCAAGTCAACGAATCTCACACACACGAACACGTCTCGATCGAACGACTCCAAGCCTGTCTTTCTTCAACACAGTGAACGTGACGACGATACCGAAACGTGCAGCCGAGGTACAGCGGGCCCGAACCAGCTCGTGCCGACCGATACAATGCTTCGTCGCGCGTGGCGCGGCGGAGGCTTGCATGCAAGAATCATGCAAGAACTGCAAGTCCGTTGTTTTCTTGTCCCCAGCACGATGCTGTCGCGACAAGATTCCCGGCCTCGACCCTGGGCTCGGGCTTTACCCAAGCTCTGCCAGCCAAGCATCTTCCGGTGGCTCCTTTGGCCACAGGAAATCGCAAATGAGGGCGGCGGCGTCGTCGCCCAGCTCGTTCTTGTAGTGGAGCCATCCAGCCTCGTAGCACGTGTCACAAATTGTCCAGGGGTAGTGATGCCACAACGTGTCTCGGCAAAGCAGACAGTGTTCAGGGCTGCAGGACCAAGAGCTGCGCCGGGTACACCATTCAAAAACCCTGTAGCCGAACACCCTCTCGCTTGGAGAGGCCTTTTCGACTCGTTGTTGCATCAAGTCGGGCCGAACGGCGATGAGCTCGCCATGCGTGCATCCGATCCCTCTTTCGAGTGATGCAAGCGGTCGCGCCGCTGAATCCATGCTTCGGGATATCTTACAGCTGTCACCGGCACGCCAAGCTTTCGCAAGACAGCGTCCACTTGCCTGTGCACCGTCGAGTCTATAGCAGAACCACAGAACTCGAGCACGAGCCGCTCAGCTCGAAGAAAAAAGAAACATGCGAAGAAGGGCAACACAATTGAACGCTGCCTAACAACAGCGACCCCTCAGAGTGGACATCGTGAACCTGATGATGCAACATCGAGAGGATGCGAAAAGCAGAAAGCTCAGCACAGGGGACACCGAACGGCGTTTTTTTTTCGAGCAGAAGCAAAGCCAGCCCCGCGAGGGATTACTGCTTCGGCAATGAAGTGGCCGCGGCGTTGAAGATGTGGCGACAACAGTGGGGCAGACTCACAACCGCGTTCTAGTGGGCAGGGTGAGAGTATCGAGGAAGGGTGGACAACTTGTCGCGAACATCTTGGATGAGATTCGTGACTGTATTCTCTAGAATTTTGATGCTCCTAGACTGTTGGGCCACGGACTCGCGAATTCGCTCAGTTCCTGTTCCTGCTCTCGAACTTGTCGTTGTAAGCCGTCCAATAGTTGTTGCTGAATCTGTCGAACAGAGGCTTCTTCGACTCGCTGTTGCATCAAGTCGGAACGAACGGCGATGAGCTCGGCCTGCGTGTATCTGATCCATCTTTCCAGTGATGCGAGCGGCTGAAACGCCGAGTCCATGCTTCGGGATATCCGTCAGTCGTGACGGACACGCAGGCACACCGAACCTTCGCAAGACAGCGTCCACCCGGCCGCACTGCGGAGACTAGCAGGACCACAGAAATCGAGCCCAAACTAAGCAGCGCGTTCCAAGGACAGTAGCTAAATTGAACCTCACTGAGCCAAATGCAGCGTCGCCTCAGAACGGACATCGTGTACCTGATGCCAACCACATGGAAGCTGTGAACAGCAACGCACAGCACAGGGGACACCGAACAGCTTTTTTTTTTTTTTCACAGCCAGCCCCGCGAGGGATTGCTGCTGCGCCGCACTTTCGCAAGACAGCATCCATGCGGTTGCAAAGCTATTCTAAATCTGCCTATCATCTACAACAGCAGCTTCATCCTTCGCCACCCACTCTCGCGCTTTCAGGAAGCGCACGTACGCTGTCAAATAGCGCATGTGCACGAACGTCACTGACACGGCTTGCACCGCTGCAGCCTCCATTTCTGACTCCGACATACTAAAACCTCGCCAGTTCCAGGAAACGCTCCAATGCAACCCTCTCTTGTCGTTAGACAATGTTTGGAAAGGGCCTGCTCGGGGCATCAGCCAAGCGAGAAGGCCACTGACCACGTTGTGCAGCTCGTCCGGCACAAACCCGTAGCTTTCCTCGTCCGTCGTGTCGTAGCATTCCTCAGGGATGCATGGAGACAGGCTCGCGACCAGGCGGTGCGCCGCAAACTTCATGGTGCCCTCCCGAGTTGCCTCACAGGCTTTCGGCAAGTCCGGCAACATCGTAGGCTCGACCCCATCAGGTCGCCACCCCTCCAGTCGGCAACGCTTCAACGGCAAGAGGACGTGCAGGTTCTGGAGCAAGACCTCGCGTCAAACAGGCAAACGCAAACCACCTGCAAGTGAGGACAACAAATAGCAACAAATAAAGCCGCGTACACTCGATTCTCTAACACTTTGATAACCGGCACAGCGACGGTCAAGGGCTTGTGCTGAAAGGAAGGCAGGTTTCTGTGCCTCTTGCCGCGGAGCTGCTGGCCACAGGCATCCCCAGCGGCTTCGTGCTCTTCTCGCGTGACTGCATCGATTCTGGCCGTCTTGCGCGTGCAGGCGCGCACGTCTGAGCTGTAGGCAGGTTTGTTTAAAAAGCCCTTCTGCCCAGGCCGAATTACTACGTACTTCATGGCTTCGTCGAGCATCTCCAATGACATCTGGGGCGACGGAGCATGCAACTGGGTCTTGGCGACCAGAAACTCGTGCCACTTGCACACAGTCGGAGCCCAAGTATCCCGGCGCATGAACTCCCAGCAGACGCCCGCAGCAGCTTCGCCCGGATGCAGGCATCGAGCAACTGACTGCCTCCCTACATTTTCGCAAGACTCGGTCGGCGCGGTTCGGCAGACAAGCCAAATCCGCGGAGTCGCAGAGTCTGGGTCTTCGCCATCAACAAGCATATCAGACACA